GTACACCAACTAATGTTAGAACTACTTACTGATCTGATACAGAACCAGTCTGTCATGGAGGCAGGAAGAGGTCAGTATAAGGCAAGCACCTTAGAGAAAGAAGGGATACGGGTACATCACATCATGACAATATGCTGTGTTTTTTTTTAGGTGAACATGTTTACCAAAAAACAAAAAACAAAACAGTGTACGCTGCCCACAAGGCTATTGGAATACAATCGAAAAAATGTACATCTTCCTGTCATGAAATTCAACATACAACAGTGAACTTTTATTAGTCTCTGAAAACATGATTATCTATGCAAGTGTTGATACTGAACGAAAACATATATCACGTATACATGCGTGAGTATGTGGGTGTGCTTGGGAGTGTGTATGATGGAAATGGGTACATATTAGATAAATATTTCAGAACTCGGAACAGGACACACGCCCCCTCCGCAGGACAAATGTTTTATAAAAGTACTTAAGTTATTCAGTTATTTGCAGTTCCAAACATGGATCACCCTCCTGATTGCTCCAGCAGAAACCATACAGTATACCCATCGCTGTCCCTTGTGAAGAAACTGAAAACAGACTGGAGTCTCGGCAAAGCCAATAGCACACACATACATTAAATGCATTGAGGCAGCCATCAAAAGTGCTAACACAAACAGTCCACCACTTTCATAGAGTGTGGTTCACAGGAAGACCAAGAGTGGAAAACACATTAAAACCTTGCATTCCAACCAATTCCTGACCTAGATTAAACAGTGGTAACACATATCCTGCTTATTACTGACTAAATCCTGAACCCACCCAGAACTTTAGAGTACAACTGGGTAAAATGTTGCGTAGCCTTTAGGGTGTCCTAAATTTATTCTTAGAAATGTAAAAGGGTTTTTCTGGGTTTTGTCCTGCTGACTTGACATTCAAGAAGCAGCTTTTCTAGTCACTGGAGTGTCGATCCATGTAGCAAATGGGAGGGGGTTCTCATGTCAGTTCCTACTCATACACTGCAGTAACAATGAGCAGCCAGTTTTTAAAAAAACATGCTAAACAAATTAGGAGGAAAAAAAAACATTCAGCTTGAATATAAATGCCTGGTTGATATTTATGATGACATTTTATGAAAGATGAAACCACAGCACGAAGGTATGACTACAGAAGTGTAACAAAAACAGCTATGTACATTATCATACACACCGTTCCGCCTTATCTCCATTACTGGAGCAATGTGTGTGCAATGTAACAAATCGTAACAAATTCCCTGATACAGTGAAGACATACTGCTCTGGTGGCCACAGATCACATTAGGTTACCACGGAGCCATGTCTACAGGTTGTAACATTAAAATGGTTTTTATTTTTTTAGTTTAAATTTGTTACGTGCAGATGCAAACGCTAACAGTTTCACTAAAGTACAAATGTAACTTGCCGGTTTGTTATACAGCCCCCCAGGGGAAGCAGAAAACAGTAACACTGTAGCCAGCGAAGCATGTCATAAGAGGTCACAAAGGAGGGTTGTTCCAGTGGGCTGATGGGGAAACAAAGCTGAAACACAGTACTGGATGAAGCTTGTCGCACGAAGAGGCAGGGTTGGTGTAAGTGGCTGGCTACCCCAGCCCGTAAAAACATCAACTCGCAGAATCCAAAGAAATAAGGAACAATTGTACAATTAAGGCAGGTTTGCCATGAGCTGCTTGAGGGCTTATGCCCCATGAAGAAATAAAGAGTTGCACTAACAAGAGTTGTAATTACAGATGCTACATACAAACATGTGCAACTCCCAGACAAAAAGAGAAGGACAATAAAAGGCCTATAAAGAGATATCAACACATTTTTATTGCTTATAATATATGCTGAATATGAACTTTGAATTAAAATGCTATAAGTTTCAATTACAACAAGACAAGACAGCTCTAAGCACTAAGTAACACATACACATATTTGTCAATAATATGAATGTGGAAATAAAAATATTTTCATTACTTGCATGCTGACACAAATTTACTTCTTTATCAATTTAGATAATAAATGTTTACAGTTATCCTTTGTTTCTTTTAAATTTCTTGAAATTAATTTTAAAATTGTGTCAGAAATGATTTCCTTCTGAAATAACCCCCCCCCCCCCCCCTCCCCCCAACATCAAATTAAAAAGCAGCAGTTGCTGCTGCTGGAACTGTATTCAAAGTGAAACACTAGCTCTCCTGTAACAAAAGCAACAAAACTACATACTGTAGCTCTTCTACAACAAAACCATAAATATTACACACAGTAACTATTTTACAATAAATCTGTAACTACGTTATTGAATGGTAACATCTTTTTTTTTTTCACTACACAATTTATATTTGAAAATCACAACCCTTTATCAAAACTGCTAACAACCATAGCTTCACGATTCTGAAAGGTTTATTAAAATAAATCTGTAACAGAATACAACACTCATATACTTGTAATAAAATTATACAATTTACAAAATTTCTAGTAGATAAACTACGATTTACACAATAAATTTTTTTTTAAAGACTCACAAGTAAAAATTTATATTTCATATTTTCTCATTTGCATTAGATTTGATACTATTACATTCAAAAGTAATGACAATGTATAGTGTTCACAAACAATAAAGTAAACAGTCCTGCGGGTACAAAAGGAGCAGGCAACAAACAGAGAGCATAATAAATCAAGATATTTCCACATATTTATTTGTACACAAGTGTCAGGGAGATATCTTGTGTGTACACAGCAGGTTCACGTATCACATTTATTGACTGATAAAGCAGTGACTTGTATGTTTATTTTTATTTCTTTCAACATTTGAGGCATGTCCATATATACTGGGCAAATCTGAAGAAGAAAAAAATGTAAATGACCCCAAAGGACACTCAGCTTGGCAAAAATACAACAACCATAAGTGTAACAACTGTGCATAGAAGACAAACCCAACATGGGAAGCAGGTAATATCAAATCGAGCTTCTGTTTGCAACATATTTCAAATCCACGGTTATAAAACAAAAAACCAACCAGGCAACCACAGAGATACATTTCTATCCAGTCAGAAACTGGTCAAAAACAGGCACACGACAACAGCCTGTACATGAGCCAACTGGCGCAACAAACACTACTCACTGGCCTTCCACAGCAAACAAAAAATGTAATGCCTCAAATGGTTCAGCAACATCCAAACACACACACACACACACAAATACACAAACAGGGCGGCTCAAGTCAACACAGAAAAATAATCACTGTATAAAATGTCAACACAACATGAGGGGAGGGAGGGAGTGGGGGAGTAAAAAGTATAGAGATTTTAAAAAAATAAACGATATATCTGTATATATAAATTCACTATATGAATATCTTCATTCACTGTATGCTACAATGTCAGAAACTATGAACATGTGAATGCTGAAGCTCCAAGTGCAGGTATGTACAGGTGAGAAAGGTAATTCTTGATGACATTCTTCAGTAAAACACAACCATTATAAGTACACATCCTCCCCCTCCCCAGGATTCTTTTAGAAAGTTATTAAAATTGTAGATATATGAGAATTTAAACTGCAAGAATGTACCACCTGGCAATCTATCCCAGCGGCAACCAACTTTATGTATTTACAACAACCTGCCTCAAACGCTGTCAGACAGTTTTAGGACGTTTTACCTGCAGAATTCAGCTCTGAAACTATCATCAGAACATATTCATGAAAGTAAACTGTAAGAATGTACCACCTTGCAATAATTCCAAGTGGCAACCAAAGGTGTGCATATTACAGCAACCTGCCTCTTAAAATACTGGACATTTTTAAGGCTATTTTTACCAGCAGAACTGAGCTCTGAATATATCATCACAAAATTTTATCAGTATCTCCAGTGTAGTTTTCATGGTAATGTATGAACTTTTTTTTTTTTTGTAAAGTCAATTTTCAATTTTAAAAAATTAACAGACCCAAAAAAAGGTTTTTGTTTAAGGCAAATTTCTCAATTTACTCTAAAAGTTTTTAATTTTTTCAGTGTCAGATAATTTACAATATGTGATTATTGATCGCTCTTCACACTGTATAATGATTTTAACAATTTATGTTCCATTTCCTGTTATACGAATCGAGTTTATGTTACATGACTTCTGTTCCATAGGTGTATTATTTAAACCCACTAACACTCAAAGATTGTTACTTTAATGTACACATATTCTGGAACGGGAGGTGTTAAACTAGCAATTGTGTTAAACAGTTAATACCCCCCAAAAGAAAAACTGCTTTATCAGGAGACTTAAGGTCATACAGCGATCATATTTTCAAGGCAGATCTAATGCAAAATATGTGAATTTAATTTGATAGGAGTGGCGCCCAATCAATTTTTCTGAGAAAAGCCACAACTGCAAAGTTTGCAAACATTTCATTCATACAGAGTAAGTCCATATAATAAACCTTAATACTGAAATTCTGCGAAACACTTGAAATTCTGCGAAACACACAAAAGGAATAGAAATAAAGGAAATCACAGTAGACGAGCTCCTTATATATGAACAATTTATCTTAAATGCTTAAAAAAAAACAGAATGACCATTATAAAAAGTCTAGACATTCTCTTTTTCCCCTTCTTTATGAAAATATGTAGAAATATCGAACTTATACAAATGAATATATTTGATAGAATGAAATAGATACAAATAGATTATTTGAAAAACTGTTAAATGACATAATATGTACTTTTTCCAGGCATGATTATGTGTTTAACATGTAAGGAATATGAACCCATTTGGTAATATTGTCACGTATTCAATAAACTGCATTTTTGTCTGAAATCGAAACAACAAGTCAATGAGATGGGTGACAGATAATGACCGAGGTGAGGCCTCGATACTGAGTGCAGCAAGCATCATTTTGATACAGCCAGTGCAGGTGCAGCCGCTGCGGTCTCTGGGACACGTACAGGTAGGTGTATGGTATAGTCTGGAGTCTGGTACTGATGACAAATTCAGGATAATTCAAATAAAACGTCTCTCTAGGATCTCACAACCAAGTCAATGGATTGTCTTTGTTGCCTAACACTCTCTCTACATCTTTCAGAAGTTCACTGTTGATTTCCTCCTGAAAAATAGAAGTCAGTCAGTCAGTAGAAAGAAACCCTTGTCAGGTCATTGGCACAAAAGGCATATGGTGCTAGACAAACATTCTAAGGACCAATCAGCATGGGACTGACAGTGTGGTCGACATCATGTCGACTGACTGCATTTACTTCCCAGGAATTTCCTGATGACTATTTTTTGCCAGTTTGACCAGGAATCCAAAGTCAGTTAAAAAAAACATGCCTTGTTGCAGATGTCTGCTTTTTCTTCTTCTTCTTTGCGTTCACCAACTGTAAACTCTGGCGGAAAATTCTGGTTGCTCATCCACTTTTTGGACTGCAGTCCTGTTCCAGAACCCGAGTGTCGCGTGTGCACCAATTTTACGGATCTGACTCATTTGTATGCATGCAGACTGCTGGTTTCTGGCCTCTCAGGCAGATGCACTCCAACTTCGAAGGAAGCTCCCAGTAGATTCTTATGACATGCTTTTAGGTAGGCAGTGGGTCTATTCTTGTTTTCCCTATAATAGAGCCCCGGAACCCACATGAGAGGTTGCAAATGTGATTTGAATTCAAGACCTTTAGACCACCTGGAAAATACATGAAGCACTATGTGTTGGGTAAAAAGGTAAAAGCCGTCTTCTTTTTGTTCTGTGTTCACCCATAAAAGGGGCAGTCGACACACTGTGTTGTGGTTTACAGACAGGCTGCACAAACTGCCTTTCAACGCAACATGCACAAATTGCTTGCTGTGACCCACTTGGACATCACACAAACGATAAACACCCAGTTACACAAAGTGCCAGCATGCGGATGAGGATCACCCGCGGAGAGACACCAGGAACCCCTTTCAGCCGCTTAGGCCATATTTATGGCACAGCTATATTCAGCCCCTCTCCCCCTTCAATACATGCCTGTAAGGGAGCAAGTGTGTCTATTTGACCCCAATGAGCCTGGGGGGAAAATGCAATCCTATGACAGATTCTTGAGGCTGAAAGTGAAGTGACAATGAGCTGCAGTGGCTTGGGGAGAAAATTAAATCCTATGATAGATTCTTGTGGCTGAAAGTGAAGTGACAATGAGCTGCAGTGGCTTGGGGAGAAAATTAAATCCTATGATAGATTCTTGTGGCTGAAAGTGAAGTGACAATGAGCTGCAGTGGCTTGGGGAGAAAATTAAATCCTATGATAGATTCTTGTGGCTGAAAGTGAAGTGACAATGAGCTGCAGTGGCTTGGGGAGAAAATTAAATCCTATGATAGATTCTTGTGGCTGAAAGTGAAGTGACAATGAGCTGCAGTGGCTTGGGGAGAAAATTAAATCCTATGACAGATTCTTGGGGCTGAAAGTGAAGTGACAATGAGCTGCAGTGGCTTGGGGAGAAAATGCAATCCTGTGACAAATTCTTGAGGCTGAAAGTGAAGTGACAATGAGCTGCAGTGGCTTGGGGAGAAAATGCAATCCTATGACAAATTCTTGAGGCTGAATGTGAAGAGACAAGCTGTAGTGGCTTGCCTGCTCCGACAGTAGTGGAATAGTCCTGGAACAGGACCAAAGTCCTGAAGTGGACAAGCAAACATAACTTTCTGCCAGAGTTTACAGCTGGTGAATGTAAAGAAGAAGAGACTTCATATGCCATGGCCTAGTTCTGTGAGGGTATAACACATCAGACTCCACTGGCAGTAACCGAAGTGACAGGAATTTAACATAAACCAGATAATTTTTAAACATAAACCTGACATCTTTTAAACATAAACCAGGTAACTAAGTGGAAGCAATTTAACTAACTAACTAACTAACTAACTAACTAACTAACTAACTAACTAACTAACTAACTAACTAACTAACTAACTAACTAACTAACTAACTAACTAACTAACTAACTAAACTAACTAACTAACTAACTAACTAACTAACTAACTAACTAACTAACTAACTAACTAACTAACTAACTAACTAAAACTAACTAACTAACTAACTAACTAACTAACTAACTAACTAACTAACTAAACTAACTAACTAACTAACTAACTAACGAACTAACTAACTAACTAACTAACTAACTGACGAACTAACTAACTAACTAACTAACTAACTAACTAACTAACTAACTAACTAACTAACTAACTAACTAACTAACTAACTGACGAACTAACTAACTAACTAACTAACTAACTAACTAACTAAACTAACTAACGAACTAACTAACTAAACTAACTAACCTAACTAACTAACTAACTAACGAACTAACTAACTAACTAACTAACTAACTAACTAACTAACTAACTAACTAACTAACTAACTAACTAACTAACTAACTAACTAACTAACTAACTAACTAACTAACTAACTAACTAACTAACTAACTAACTAACTAACTAACTAACTAACTAACTAACTAACTAACTAACTCTCTCTCTCTCTCTCTCTCTCTCTCTCTCTCTCTCTCTCTCTCTCTCTCTCTCTCTCTCTCTCTCTCTCTCTCTCTCTCTCTCTCTCTCTCTCTCTCTCTCTGCTTGCCTCGGAACACACCTCTGGGCAAGGTAAAGCACTGATCCCCGTCCCCCCCCCCCCCCCTTTTTCCTAAAAAAGGTTATATGAAACCATGAAAGCAGGTGGTACAGTGAGCTCAAAAGCAGCCAAAAGTATTTGGTCATAGTCTCAAGTTCCCAATGGTTGGAAAGGATACAACTAAAGTGACACTGGTTATGCTCATCAAAGTTACTGCTGGCAGTGCCAAAAAGGACAGAACTGGGAAAATGTCGTCTGAAAAGATGCCAAGAAAAGTATGCTACCTGTATCATGTATACATGTGAAATGTGGACAATAAGTTGACAAGCTAAGAAACATCTTATGGCAGTATGGTTTCTGGGGACGTTCCAAAGAATACCACTGAAAGAAAAACATATAAGGCAGCCCTCTAACAAATACATTTAACACTGTGAATGTGCAGAAATGGTATTTGAAACAAGCTTACTTGTAGGCTTGGAACCAGGTCTTCTGAGTCCATGGTAAGATGGTCAACCACATCACCAACTCCTGCCATATCCATGCTGCCAAAATCTGACTGACCTTGAAGTTTGGGGCCTTTTGGTTCCAGATAAACAGTCAAATAATTATACAATGATAAACAGTTCTGGATAAACAGTCAAATAATTAAACAATGACAATCATAACAAGCGTTCCAAAGAGTGCTCCTCGATTAAACTGAGTAAACACCACAGATAATGTAATGCATGAGACAAGGACAACACTATAAAGAAATCAGTGGGGGCTCAGCCCTGTGTAGCTGGAGTAGGATTTCACATGCGTGCCTCTGGGATATGGTAAAGTGACAAATAAGAGCCTTAAAATGCACCCAGATGACAACTGCCAAAACTACACTCAAAGGACTTTGGTATAGTAAAAAAAAAAAATACCCAAATAACAGCTGTACAAAAAATGTGGGGTAAATATAATCATACCAACCGTATTGAAACAGTATGCAGTTGCAGCCAGTACCAAAGTTCTTATACAAATTATACAAACGTACTAAGCATTTTCCAAAGACATTGTGTCAACCAGAACCAGTAAAAGCTGAAGAAACAAAATCTGGGAGAGAGGGTTATTCTAAGCCATGATTTCTCATGGTGGTAGAAGGGTGTGCTTTCTAATACAGATATACATAGTGCCTACCAAATAATAATAGATAGCAATGTTTAAAAAAAAGTATCATTTAAATGGCTACTTCATGGATAAACAAATTAGGCTGTTTGAAAATTAGCTTTCTGTTTTACTATCTGATGATCAGCTCCTAGCAAACCTGTTTTCACAAAAAAGATGAGAAATCAAATGTTTTGTGTGTGTGTGGGTTTCGGGGCCCTATTTAATGGGGGGGGGGGGGGGCATGCCCACCAAACAAGCATGTCACAAAAGGCGACTAATTAGTGTTTTGTTGGAATCGGATATGTTAGGCTGAAAGCTGCAGGCAGATATCGCTACCTAATTGTAAACCACAACACAGAGTGCAAACTGCCCTTCTGAAGGTAAATGAAAAAAAAAAAAAAAGATCATGCATGTGTATTCTCTTCTCTTCTACAGTCCTGATCTGCCTTTCAGCATCACATTCTGAAGACATCTGGTGTGAGCCCTGGGCTGTGCTACATAGATGCTGGTATTTCATCTGTCCACCACTAGCTCTGCTTCCACTATGACTAAGTGACATGGCTCTCTGTTGTACACTATCTTCTCGTAGTCTTGACACATATCCAAACCATTTGAATCGTTGTCTGTGTAATTTAGCACTGGTTCTGTCCTAAAGATATGAATGATTGTTATATTTGAAGAGTATCATCTCAGTAGGTTTGTATTTTCACAAGGACTTTGAGGTGAAGAGAATTAGTTATTAATGAAAAGAGGTCCCAGTTGCAACCTGATTTAAAATCCTAATGACATTTTCCTGTGAGAAGCAAATCAACTGGACCCCCAGCTGAATCATTCTCTCCAAATATGGATGTTCTGTTGCACTGTTCACTTCTTCCTCACATTTACAAGCTGCAATTGGCGGAAAGTTCCGGTTATTCAACAAGGTCTTGACTTTGGTCTTGTGCTAGAACTTCTAGTTTTGCATGCACATCAATTGTACAGATCTGGCTCATTTGTATGCAGTTTGTAGGTTCCTTGTCTCTCAGGCAAATGCACTCCAACTCTGAAGGAAATATCCCTAATCAGTCACATTTTACAACCTGTTTGCTATGGGAGGGGAGTAGTGGGTCTATTCTTCTTCCCCCCCCCCCCTAAAATGGGGCTCCCAGATCCATAGAGAGGTACTGTTCACTTAATCCCAGAGAGCCTTCACCATGTCCACTTGTATCATAAAGTAGCTCACTGCCTAGGTGGGCAGCAGGAGCAGCAAATCTATGCCTGCTTAGAAATTAAACTGCACACCCAAATGTGCTAGGCAAAGATTCCATGATATGCTTCTGATCTGAGCGATGCAAGATCCTGTGAGCACAAGATACAATGCCTGCCATTCTAGGCATTGGTGGTTTTGGGAGAAAATACATAGATAAGGAGCAGGAAGACACAGGAAAAGGACAGGGGTACCTCGGTATATGTTCGCTTTGAACTTGGTAAACATCCTGTTTTGCTTGGTGTTTTACCTTCATTTGGAATTCAAACTTGTATGAGTCAAAATTAGTCATGACACGGTGCAGCATTTTTGTTGACCTATCTTGAGACAAAGCCACAGATAGATGTCAATGACTCTGCAGAGACATACCCCCCCCCCCCCCCCCCCCCCCAACCCAAAACGTAATAGCACTGTCTAGAATGACCAGACAATGTCACACATTTCTAAAATCATCCTGAGGAAAAGGCAGAAGCAAAATTCTTTGAACAGATTTTAGTGAAAGTCAAACCTGATGAACCTCGACGAGGTCCAAGTAGCGAGAAGAGACAGATTCCTCAACTTTTACTGGAAGGGGATTCTTCTCCAAACAATAACATCACCTCCTCCCCCTTTCTCAGTACCATCCTAGTTGGTACCCAACTCTTCTCAAGAAGGTAAAGTGACTTTCATTTTCATTTATCTCATCAAAAGCTTTTGAATTTACTGGTATTTATTTCAGTATTAAGCAGTATATAAATTATTTTATTGTATACAACCCCATCAATGTATAACATGCCAAAAACAGTCAGATTTGTTCATGAAAACAGATTTATCATTCTCCCTTGATCTCTTATGTGAAAATCTGTAGTATGTATACCAAAGTACCATTGTATTTTGTAAGTGCAAAATGGACAACATATAAATTCTGAAAGCCAAGCAACAATGAAGACTTAAACCAATAAATTCAAAATTTAAAAAAAGTATATAAAAGAATGTGTGTGTGCGTGCGCATGTCTTCATATGTGTGTGTATGTATATGTATAATTTAGGTGCATGTTTTGTTACAGGAAGCTGCAAACTACTGTAACATTCCCTATCTGGTTTGTGGTTTTACTAAGTTAATTTCTTGTTCAGTAATTCACCATTGCTTTTTTTTTTAATGGTTTGACACTTATACCAATGTCATAGTCAACACAAAGTGGTCTGCTACCAAACTACCTGCAGCTGACTTCAAACCCCACGGTGTCAGAATTGTAAAACAGTTTTCTTCCTCTTCTGTTTGCCTTTAAAGGGGCAGCAGGCACAATGTGTTGTGGTTTACAGCAAGGCTGTAATATCAAAACAAATGTCCTACTTAACATTTCAGCCAACTCCCAATATGAACAAGGAAGACACAAACAATAGACTGCACAATTTACTGTCTGGCATATTTTGCTGTATCTCGTCAGATGCATACTACAGTAACAATTACATAAATGAAGCAGGTAAGTGAATCCTTTGTAAGTGAAGTACAAATTCAACATTGATCAAGCACAACTGTCCATTTTATCAGGGCAGCCCTAAAGTCAGAACCATATCTCGGGGCCTCATTGTGGGGAAAACAAGAATAGACCCACTGCCTCCCCAAAAGCATGTCGTAAGAGTCGACTAATTGGAGAGCTTACTTTGAAGTCGGAGTGCATCTGCCGGAGAGGCAAGGAACCAACAGTCTGTATTCAAGAGAATGAGATCTGTAAAACTGATGCTAACGCAACACTCAGCATCTGGAGCAGGACTGCAGTTCGGTAGTGGACGAGCAACCAGAACCTTCCGCCAGAGTGTACAGCTGGTGAACGCAAAGAAGAAGAAAAACCATATCTTTCGAAATCCTAATTAGCTGTCCTTTACACATTCTTGTTGGGGAGCAGGGGATCTATTCCGCCACCCCCACCCCAGAACTCACTCTATGAAAAACTGCATTACAAACACTTAAGCCACAGATATCAACTATAAAATATCTTCTGGGTTTATTCATGTTCACTGCCTGTAAGTAAACTCTAGCAAACAGTAGGTCCCTTGCCTCTCAGGCGAATGAAACTCAGACTCCGAAGAAAGCCTCCAATTAGTCTACTCATACAACATGCTTTTGTAAGGTGGGGATGGAAAGGGGGGGGGGGGGGGAGAAGAGTGGTTTTTTTTCTTGTTTTCCACACAATGGAGTACCGAAACCCATACAGGGAAAACTATGAAATATAAAGGGATTTGAATATCAGGTGGTCAAACGTCTACATCAATGTGGGCAATCAGAAGACAGAAAAAGTGAAGGAGGACTTATAATGTTAGCTGTAGCAGTCCAGCCAAGCTTACCCCCATCCTGAGTGTCCATGTCTTCCATGTTCCCGAGAAAGTCTGGTGTTCTAGGCAGGCTGTAGCTTGTCCCCATCCCACCTGTCAACAGAAGAAACATTTGTTGTTGTTTTTTTCTCAAACCAAGGCCATTCTATAAAAGCCTTAATTTTAGCCGGGTAACAATGTACAAGACACAGTGGTGACATCTGCCATCTTCACTTTTCTCTAGCAGTTACAAGTCTCACAAACATATTCAACTTAACATCCTTTAACATAAGCTTACTTAACTCAACAACCACAAATTAACCAACTCAGTATCTGCTAACAAACTCAACCCAATAAACAACACAAACACTCTTAACCTAACAGCCACCAACACATTCTCAACACAGTATCCAACATGACTATACTAATCTCAACATCCAGCCACACAAACACTCTCTGCCCAGTATCCACCGGGGTCGATAGCGCAGTCGATAGGAGACTCGCTTTCAAATCCAGATGTGACTCGCTGCAGCCCACAGCCAGTGTTCGAAACCGGACGGATTCCGGGGTTCACCCAGCCTCTAGGAAATTGGTACCAAAGTTAACACTCTGGGGTAAATGGAGAAATGTCGCTGTAGCTAAAGAGGTTGTGCCGACGGCGACACAGGCAGACAGTTTCTTATCAGCAGTCTGTACTGGTGGCACAGAACTTATGGTTTATACCATATCTTCCGACTTTACCTTTTACCTTTATCCATCTACATAAATGTACACTACACCCCTCAGCACAAACATAATTAAATCACTATTCATCAACACAAACGTACGCAACTCAACCACCACCAATCAACTCCATACCTGCTCACACACTTAGCTCAAAATCCACCAACACATACACAACTTAACATCCACCAACAAAAGCAAACTCAACTAAATATCCAACAATACAAACATACTCAACTTGACATCCACCTATGAAAACATAACGAAAATAACCACTAACACAAATATATTCAACTCATCCACAACCAATAAATCAACTCAATATCCGCTAACACACTCACCAAATACCAACCAACACACACAAATATCCTCAACTCAACATTTACCAATATAAACAAACTCAGCCTAATATCCAACAACAGAAACACAATCAATTTAACATCCACCAACATAAACATTCTCAACTTAACCCTCTTAGCACGGACGGGCCGATTATCGGCCGGCGGATGTCTGGCCAAAAACACGGAACGGCCGATGATCGGCCCGATCGTGTTTCGCCTCGAACCGCTAAGAAATCTCCTACTTTGAAGCACTGAAAGTGATTCATTTATATTAACTGCGGTATCAGCTTTACACATGGCGACTTTCGAGTGTTTGGTATCGAAGTGAAAATTGTTGAATTTTTTAGATAGTGACCTGAACCGCTAAAAGTATGTCTGACTCGTATGTTTCTGTCCCTAAACTTGATGTTGATAAAACATTTGAATCAAGTGATGACACTAATTCTGTTGATACTGATGCAGGATTTAGTGTTAGTAGTAATAGTGGGAATCAGATGGGGACGCTGTTGTGTTCAGACCACAGCCCAACCATGGCTCAAGGTATATCCACCCGAAGGTGTTGACACTCCGGCACATCCATTTCTAGTGCTGACTGATGGTGAAAAACACATGTCACCTAAAGATATTATTGCTGTTTCACATATATATACCTGTTTTTGACTTTTGAATTGCTTACAACATTTGTAAAAAGGCCAAAGATCAATAAAAAGATTTCAAATAAAAAAAGTTTTTGTTTTTAGTTTTATGTTTCAAGCATTGAAGTTGAAAATTCAAATTCATATTTTCTATTTTTAGATATGCAAATGAGATAATTTGCATATACATCAATTAATTTTAACGATATTGTGAAAATCACGAACTTCAATCTATATCCTTCAAATAGATATATTATTTCATAGGGGTCAGAATAACAGAAATCTTTCAAAACAATTAAATAAAGTAATAACCAAATTCACTGAAAAAATGCTCTGTGTTTTTGGCTAGACCTCTGAAAAACTTCCCGTGCTAAAAGGGTTAACATCCAACAACACAAACATTCTCAACTCAACTCACCCATCAAAACAAACACACTCTACTCAATATCTACCAACACAAACATTCTTGACTCAACATCTAGCAAAACAAACATACTCATTCACCAACTTGAGCCTTCTGTACTCAATACCCACCAACACAAACATGCTCAACTACAACCAAAAAATCAACTCATTATCCACCAACACTCATTTCAGCATTCACAAAAGTAACTATATCTCCACCAAAACAAACCCACCCAATTCACTATCCACCCTTAGCCCATTACTTCATAGCCGAAAATGCCTTGGTCTCACCTTCCCTCCTTCCTAGCTAACCTCGGGAGAGTAACTGTGTCCTCACAGATATATATACACAGAACAACATACCTAGCCCACTGTCCCCACTCTCCTGCCTCGAGTGATGATCGGATGTGCCGGCCTGTCCAAAGAATGGGTCTGTTATGGATGTCATTTCGGTAGACTGTGAGATGGCTGTGATATCTCCAGATGTACCCAACACTGCGTCACCAACCTGGGCTCTGAGAGCCATCTCCTGCAGCAGAGGGGGTGGAGTCAGTTACATTAGTTACTACAGCCCTACAGCAGGTAGGGGCAGGCAAATTAAGTTTGCTAGAGTGATGTAAGGCTAATACAGCCCTACAGCAGGTAAGGGGCAGGCAAATTAAGTTTGCTAGAGTGCTGTAAGTCTACAACAGCCCTACAGCACGACACAGACAGGCAAATTAGGTGCTAGAGTGCTGTAAGGCTACTTACTACAGCCCTACAGCAGGATACAGACAGGCAAATAAAGTTTGCTAAGTGCTGTATGGTTACAACAACACTACAACAGGTACAGGCAGGAAAATTAGGTTCGCTAGAGTGTGGTAAGGCTAAAACAGCACTTCTTCTTTTGTCAAAATCTGCTTGTGCCACTAGGCGTTGCAGTCTATCAGATGATCGGCAACCGAGCCAGGGCGTGCTCAGTCGCTTCATATGCCGTGATGTTATGAAGTCTCAAGTTGTCCGTGACTCCTTCAATCCATCTTCTTCTTGGTCTTCCCCTGCCTCTTGGTGTTTCGATTTTCATGTTGTATGCTCTTGATGCTGGCATCGTTGGTTCCATTCTCATTAGGTGACCAAACCATTTCATTCTTTGCTTCTCAATAAATTTAACGATGGGTATGGTTCCAGTAACATAAACAGCACTACAGCAGGGTAAACAGGCAAATTAGGTTTGCTAGAGTGCTGTATGATTACAACAACACTACAGCAGGATACAGACAGGCAATTAAAGTTTGCTAAGTGCTGTAAGGTTACAACAACACTACAACAAGTACAGGCAGGCAAATTAGGTTCGCTAGAGTGTGGTAAGGCTAAAACAGCTCTACAGCAGGATACAGGCAGGTATATTAAGTTTGCTAAGTACTTGATGATTACAAGCCTACAGCAGAATAAAGTTAGATAAATTTGCTGAATATTCTATAACCTACATCAGGCCTATAGCCCAATACAGACAAAGGCATTTGTTAAACTTGTGTAACTATATCAGCCTTATTGCAGAACACACACAGGTAAATTTGATGATTGTTGTATAAATACATAAACCTTACAATAGGACAGTCAGTTTACTTCTATCTGCTTTTTTCTTCATATGTACATTTTTTTTTTTTTTTCTTTCTTTTTAACCATCAAAAGTAGGTAAGAATGTGTGTTTGTGTGTATTAGTGTCTGTTGCGTGTGTGTGTGCACATGAGTATGTGTGCGGTTAAAGGGGGGGGGATGTTATGTTTGTGTAGTGAATGTAAACGTGTCAATGTTGTTTGAATTTGTTCACTCACTTATTTATCAACTACCTGGTGAATCCAATGAACCTCCGGAAACAAAGAGAAGCTTGTAATATTTCGTTCAGCTTCTAGCTAGTGTCTATTCTACTTCAAGCAGAGATGTCTCTACCCAGAATTCTGCCCTGACCCCTGTCAGGAGTTTCACACTGCTTATCTACCCCTGTCATGATAAGGCTGTCTAGACAGTGTGGGCAGCCCAACACAGTCCTCTCTTCTCTGGCATCATTTATTCTTGTTTTCCCTGTCTGGGAGCTAAATAATATGAAACTTGTTGAAGATCCGGATTAAAATATAAAGTAAGTAAATAAACGCCCCTTTCTTCCCACATCTGGTCCACTGGGCAAATGCTAGACTCATATTTTAATAGACCTATCAGCACTTGGTGGGCAATGTGGTCAACATCAGACTAGCTGCCATTACTTCCCAGGACATTACCTAGAACCTAATTTAGGCTGGGGCAATCTTAGGCCTAGTTCAATTCTGAAAACAATCCACCGTAATGCAGGTTCAAACAACATAGCTCTGGGCTGGCCGATGACAGCCGCTATACTACCGTAAATTACTGAACTACCGTTGTGTACATCATCTTCGTCTGCACTGGCCCTTGAATAAGTGTGTGGCATTCTGTGTTCTAGTTTAGAGCTGGCCTGTGATGTATGTGCCTTTCAGTCTAACATGTCCAATTTTAGCAAACTTTGTTACCTTTCTATGTTTAGGCACTTGGGTAACCCAATAACAGATGTAAGATGTTTTAAAGAGGTTGTAGAATAGCTCAAACAAAGGTAGCATTTTACAAAATGATGAGTATTCTACGTAATATTTCTTTGTAAATTAAGATAAGAAAGAGAATGCTCAAAAGCTATTTAAATCCTATCCTGATACACAGATGTGAATCATAGACAGTTGGACAATTCGTCAAAAATTATTTGGGGGATGTGATAATAGACAAGTGATGAAAATAACCTAGACAGATAGAAAGAGTAATATGAGATGTCTTGAAAGTAGCTGAATGACAAAGACAACTGACTGTACACATCTAAAGGAGTTTAAACAGGTCTACATTTTTTGGTCACGAGGGGGAACAAAATGATGGTAGGAAAGCTGAAGGGGAAAAGAGGAAGAGGGAGACGTAGAGAGAAAATGCTGGACAGTCTGACATCATGACGTGGAAGATAATCTCTGTCAAAAATGACAAAGTATATGGGTACTAACCATGGAATTCACCCCATCTAATTCGGGTACGAGACTTCCTGGCCATTTCCACGTTTTAAGCACATCCACCAACACTGAGAGTAGAAATTCAAAAACATAGATGATTCGATACTCACAAACCATCGTGCTTCTCTGCTTCCCCCTGCAGTACGTCTTCCTTGCACACAGGTGCCTAATCTACTCTCAACAAAAATTCTAGAACCGACAGTCACTCACAGAAAAGAGAGTTGCGACAAGAAAGCTGAGCATTTTTGTCTCGACCGCGTCAAACAAACACGAACCAGTTTTCGCCACAGTGTGTATAGACTGGGAAGGAAGGCATCTTAAAACACCCCTAGAACACAGGAAAGCCCATGGAAATAGCCATGAAAGTTCACGCCTGAGGGAGACAGGGTGAATTCCGTAATTAGTACCAACATACGAGACAGAAGGTTGTAGAGAGACATGACTACCAAAGCTACACACCCAGCATGGCCTGTAAGAAAAAGAAGTTACCTGTTATGCTTGTCAAGAAAAGATGGGTCTATTTATTCCATCCCCCCCCCCCCCCCCCCAAATTAGGCCAGTAAACCCTCATGAGGAATGCTGTGTAAATGATGATTCACTTCCATTAATTAAAATAACCTGGCACAGTTGCCAGGTACAAATATGCAAATACCTGCAGTGCAATCTCATCCTGCCTCTTCTTCAGACGTTCCTGCTCCATTTGAAGCTGTTGCAGTTTCAGGTGTTTTAACCGATCCTGCTGTGGGCTCATTGGACCGCTCGAAAGCTGCTGCTGCTGTTGTTGCTGCTGCTGAAACTTCATCCCTGGCCTCTGCAAGTGAGTGGCTGCAGAAGTAAACCAACACAAACTTTATTAGATACACAGTGGAACAATCTGTGGTCATCATCAGATTACACTAACACAGGTGGTTCTCTCACTTTTCTAAGCCAGTCTTTTCATATAAATTTGAAGGTTTGTAACATCTTCTGCAAAAATACCCTCAACATTAGAATGCAATTGCTTCTGCAATTCTTTTTCTTTTGTTGTATCAGTGTTACCAGGTTGTTGTACAGTGTCATGTTTTTCTGTATTTGTCTTGCACTTCTCTGGTGGCTTAGTTGATAGATGTGTTCACCTGTTTGCAGGTTTCAACTACACCATGCATCCATTGTTTGCGATTCTCATATTTTTAAAATTATCATAAATTCTTCAGTATGGCTCGTAAAAAGGATGTGGCAGACCTTCAGAAACCAAGAATGCAGAAACGTGAATAGATGCAAGACAAGCTAGATGTGGTGAGGGCCCTTTAAGCAAGTGAACAATGCAGAAACGTGAATAGATGCACGACAAGCTAGATGTGGTGAGGGCCCTTTAAGCAAGTGAACAATGCAGAAACGTGAATAGATGCACAACAAACTAAAGGTGATGAGGGCCCTTTAAGCAAGTGAACAATGCAGGAACGTGAATAGATGCACAACAAACTAGAGGTGATGAGGGCCCTTTAAGCAAGTGAACAATGCAGAAGTGTGAACAGATTCGTTATGGTCTGGAAAGAATGTTGCAGCTAGGTGTGAATAGGGGCTTTGGCTGACACAACACTCAGAAGAAATGAAAGATGGACATTTGAAGAAACTGCGACTTGTACCATAAGATCGGGAACTCTCCAATGGCTGCTAAAGATGAAGAAAACCAGAGAACTAAACTTGAAGAAAAACGGAAAAGCTGGAGAAATAAAACAGCAGCTCTAAACCTTGATAAAGATGGCAAGAAACTCTGGAGATTAGCCAAATCACTCAATGAAGAGAGTTTCTCTCCTAGACAAACAATCACACTAAGTGATGGTGACAAAATCTTCAGAGGAAAACAAGCTGCAGATTTGTTTGCCAGAACATACAGTGTTGAAAGCAACCTGACCCTTAATGAGGACCATCAGAGAGAAAGAAGGAAAGAAATACAAACAAATAAGAGACAGACAGATACTCCTGCCTCTATGAGGGAGCCATTTACCATGGGCGAACTACAAAATGCCATCTTTAGGCTTAAGTTAAAAAAGTCTGCAGGTCCAGATGAAATCAGCAATGAAATGCTAATCAACCTGACCTCATCTGCTAAAGTAAAGCTGCTGTAAATTTTCAACATCAGCTGGGAGAAAGGTTTGGTGCCTCAAGTATGGAGAGAAGCCATCACAATACCCATTTTAAAAAAAGGAAAAATTAAGACACAGGCTTCGAGCTATCGCCCAATTAGTCTCACGAGCTGTGTAGGAAAGACATTGGAAAGAATTGTAAATTCAAGACTGAAATGGCACTTAGAATCTGAGCAGATCTTGGTACCAGAGAAGGCTGGGTTTAGGGAATGTCACAGCATAGAAGACCAAGTCACCTACCTGTCACAAGCTGTAGAGGATGCCTTCCAAGAGAAGAAAAAGGTCCTGGCGGTATGGGTTGACTTCAAACAAGCTTTTGACAAAGTCTGGAAAGATGGTCTCATTGCAAAACTGAAGAGAAATGGAATCCAAGGAAACATGCTAAAATGGATCCAATCCTTCTTACACAGCAGGAGAACTAGAGTCAGTCTTGATGGCCAGCAGAGTAGAAAAGTGTTACTTCGGCAAGGAGTACCACAGGGAGGAGTTATCTCTCCAACTCTCTTTCTTGTGTATATAAATGATCTGGTGAAAGACCTCCCTACGGGAGTAAAAGCTGCCCTGTATGCAGATGATCTGGCACTTTGGTGTACTGATGAACACACCACAGTGGCAAATATAAGAATGCAGCGAGCAGCAGATCTCTTGATGACATGGGCAGAAAAATGGCATGTTGCCATCAACACAGACAAAACATCCACAATGCTTTTCTCTCTTTCCCCCAGGGACAAAGCTGCTAGTATTCACCTAGGAACATCCTTGCTAAAGGAAGAAAGCTTCCCCACTTATCTTGGAGTAACATTTGATAAAAGGCTCACATGGAGCAAACATATAGAAAATGTAGAAGAGAAGGCCAGGAGACAATTAGGCCTACTTAGAAAACTGGCAGGTACAGGATGGGGAGTGAATGGAAAAACCCTAAAGAAAGTTTATAATGGAGCGATAAGACCCCACTTGGAGTTTGGTGCAACAGCATGGTCAACAGCTGCTAATTCCCATCTACAATTGTTAGACAGAGTGCAAAATCAAGCTCTTAGACTCATCACAGGATCCATGAAAACTGCACCAATCCTGAAGATGCAGAAAATAACTGCAATGCAGACACTGTCCTATAGAAGAGACACTAAAACTATGATCCAGATGGAGAAGTTTAATAGTATGCAGTCACACCCAATGAATAAAAGGTTAGATGATCTGGCATTAGGGCGTCTCAAACGTAGCAGCTTTGTCCATCGGGGAAAAAGACTTAGAAGACAGTATCAAGCTGATCTACCTATTAGAACAACACCGCTGAAACCTACCCTATACCCTGTACCTTGGGAGCAAGTCAGTGATACAATACAGATAATGACTTCAGTCAATAGATTCACAACTGGAGATGAGTCCAATGATCTTCAAAAACGAACAGCTGCTCTTGGCATGATTCATGAAAACTATCCCGAACAGTCATGGATACATGTTTACACAGATGGATCAGCAACCAGTGCGGTTAAAAATGGGGGTGCTGGAGTCTTTATTACATACCCAGGCAACCACCGCCACACGAAGTGGATACCCACTGGTAAATTCTGTTCCAACTACACAGCAGAGATTGTAGCACTAGAGCAGGCTGCCGAAATGTTACACAACACCAGTTCTGACTGCCACCAAGTGGTTATATTCACAGATGCGCTTTCAGTGCTTCAAGCCCTCAAGAGTGGCAAACTCCCTCACTTGAGATCTGAACTTGGCAAGGTGGCTGCCCAAAAGTGTACTGTACTCCAGTGGGTGCCATCCCACTGTGGTATACCAGGAAACGAAACCGCAGATAAACTTGCTAAAAAAGGGGCAGAATGTGACCAGGAAGAGAATGCAGTAACACACTATGAGAAGAAAAGGGCCATCCAGGCTATTAGAAGTGAACAGAGTCTGGCCAAAGATGACTACCACTTACTTGACCAGCATGGGCAGGTCATTGTTCTACGTCTCAGGACAGGACATAACAAACTTAACCAGCATATGCACAGGCTTCGTCTAAGTAGTTCACCCGTGTGCTCTTGTGGGCTATGTGTGCAGACTACAGAACATGTCCTGCAAGACTGTCCCTTGTTCAGCCCATTAAGAAAGGAATACTGGCCCAGTGAGTCACCACTGTACACAAAGTTGTATAGGACTAAAAATGAACTCATAAAAACAGTCAAGTTTATCACAAGAACCTGTCTGTCGGTGTAAATCAGAAAGCGAACACAAGAAGAAGAAGAATGAAGAAAACGCTTATGGGAATTCTCAAGTGGTGAGATGTCGATTCTCAACTTAATTAAACACCTTTACAATGAATAATATGTAAGACTGTGTTTAATTAATTTTGTACCTAGAAACATCACATTACTTTGATGTGTTTCCACCTTGGCATGGAAGAGGCGCCTGCGAGTTTGAATAACCCCAAAAAGAGCTATGCCAACGGTAGCTCTTCCACCGGTAGGGTCTCTCATGCTGGACAAGTCAAAGAAAAGGAGCCAAAAAGATCAGATACAAACCTGCTGCCATAGAGGTAAATTAGATAGTCAAAGGCTAGGAAAATCAAACCTGAAAAAACTGCTTGGAGAAACTGGATGTACTGAGGCAAATGCTTGACAAAACAGCAGTGCAAACTCACTACCTGATGACATACTAGGTCATGCATTGTTCGTTGAGAGTGGGGGGGGGAGGCATCCTCTTCTCAGATGGCCAGAATATTTCAACTGCATGACTGGTTTCAATCCTAGTCCTCCTGTGAGTTCATAATTTTTTATTTTACCTCCTCTTGTTACACTAGCAGCTCTCCTAAGACATGTTATCTCTTTTTCTCCAATTAATTGTAGTAAAGGTCCATGTTTAAAAACTGGCAGCATAAATACCACCTGCACAACATACACTATTTCACTGACAGATACATATAATTACTAATTACCACAATCTGCAGCTATAAATACCATTACAATGGGCAGATATTGTAACTGTCCTCTGGTACCAAAAGAGTTAATAATCTGCAGTTATTAATCAAACTCTTGATTCCAAAATCAGAGAAAGCAAAGAAATGCTGCCAGCTTGTTAAAAGCAGTACACTTCTGAAATTATATGAAAAATGCCTTCCTGGCAATGAGGTAGAGTCAACACAGAAAGAATAAGAAATAAACAGATCTTCAGCTACAATGGGGAATATATTATTCAAACACTATCTATACATCCATAAATAGATGGAAAACAACACATACAGTAGGAGATGATAGTGTGGAGATTTTTCTTAACATAATCCAGATAACAAAGAAAACAATTATAAGCAACTTGAAGTCCCAGCATGGTGGAAATACCCAGATCCAATGGATGGACAGTAAACTGGCTCAGATATTTTCCGGGCAGATTAGACTAACTTTGAGAGATGATCAAGCTAAGGTGCGACAAGTCATGACAGATGGGAGGGTCACATGTAAAAGAAACATCTGGTGGATAGTGGAAAAACTGCAAATTACAACAATTATTACAGTAACTGTTGCTGGAGAAGTGTGGAGAAAGACTTCCTAATTGAAAATGAAGCAGTTTGAAGATGTTCAAATTTCTTTTAGAGGTCTGCAAGATTTACTAGCTTTGAATTGAATGATTACAAGAAACCTAATGTTCAGAATCACTCAAATGTATGGCACAATCCTGAACAAGAAAGATGTAGCTGTATCAAGTATTGTTGTGTGCTGAAGGAAGTTTTCTAGCCATAAAGTTCATTGTGTGTTTCTTGGGAAGTCAACTAGTACTACTTTTTTTTCTTTTTTACTGTATTTTCAGTCAGCTGGAGAATTTTACAACTGTCAAAGTTGGAGCAACTGTGTTTTACGCCCTCACCAGCCTTTCCTTCTTCTCCCCCTCTTCCCCGTGTTACATCATCAAAGTGAGAAGAGGTAAGAATTGGGGCTGTACCGAATAGTGATTTTCACTATTCGGCCGAATACGAATAGTGGGACCAATTATTCGGCCGAATACGAATAGTGTATCATCATCATCAGGTGCCTTGCCGACTGGTGTTGGCGATTTTACCTTGCCACAATCTGCTATCTCCTACAGCATGTATAAGTTTGTGTGCTGGCACACCACCATGACATGCAACAAGACTGTCAAGAATCTTCTCTCGTTGTCTTTTCTATCTCTCCTTCCATAAATCTTCCCAGTGGTCACCACATGTTCCATTTTCACTCTTCTTATAAGATGGTCAAAAAATGATGACTATCTCTTTCTGATGTCTGTGATTACGGGCTCCCGCCTCTTTTAAAACCTAGTGGGTGCTTTTTTTAGGCTGTCCAAGGTATTTTAAGCATTGTTCTGTAAAACCACATCTCTGAGGCCTCAAAAAATTGTTTGGCCTGGCTACCGATTGTCCAGGACTCATAGCCATATGTTAAAACTGGATGTATGTAGCAAGCAAGACTAAGATATATTGCATAAGATGTTCTCTTTTTTTATTAATAAAATGCAGTTTTTGCCTGTCCTATTTTGTTTATTTTAGTAATGCATCTTTCATCTGATTTTATCTATGTGCCAAATTCACATTTAAATCATCGTTCATTCAGGCGTTCGTTCGATGTAATTTAAATGCACCTTCATATTCTCGTTCGCAATATCTTCAATTTGATTTGGGCAAAGACACCCCAAAAGAACGAAAAAATGCATGCTCTCTCTCTCACACACACACACACAGAAACACTTTCAAGTTTCTTCATGCCTTCTTTAACACAACAGTAGCGTTGCCTAAATCTGTCGTAGCGGGGAAAACTGCGACCCGGTTGCGTGGTAACAGCGCCTGTTGACTCCTCCGAGGCATTACAGCAGAGGTTCTAAAACTGGGTGCGTATGCCAGGGGTGCCGTGGCGAAAATCAAGAAAAGTCGGCTATAAATTGTGACATTATTAATGAGAGAGTTATTTCAGTCCATCGCAGTGTATGCAGAAATCCCTATTCGTATTCAGCCCGACCGCCACTATTCGGCCTAATACCGAATAGCTATTAGGTCCACTATTCGGCCCCGAAGCGAATATTCGGTACAGCCCTGGTAAGAATCATCTCTGTGTTCTTTTACATGCAGTGTATAAGCTGATCATTTCTTTCAAACAATTACTGAAGCTGTCCTTCCAATTTTTACATGGTCTTCCACTTACTCAGTGTTCATAAATTCATTGCTTCATTATCCTGTTGTGCCATTATATGTCACACAGGGTTCACAGTCTACTCAACCACTCTGTTCTATCCTGTGCGATCAGTTCAATATCATGGAGGGAATTCAGTCCAGCAGCTTTGACCTCTCTTATCAACGTTTTAATTAGGGTCTTTTTTGGGCGTCCTCGCCTCCTTAATCCCTTTATTTTCCATTTTAATGACTGTTTGCTGATTCTTTGCTGGTTTATTCTCAGAATATGTTCAATGCAGCACCATCTTGACTGTCACATAACTGCTGATACTAGTGATTGCCCAGACATTTCTTTTATTTCTTCGCTCCCATTAACCCAGTTTTCAGGTTTGAACAACGGATCAACATCATGGCACATGGATAGTAACCCATAAGTGCTCCGTTCTTCTTCTAACTCAAGTCTGAGTCAGAAGAAGCTCAGCACAGTGCACAGGCTCTGTAGCACCGGCGATGATCCTGAAATACTTTGGGTTGATTTTTTAACACCAAATTTTGCCCCTGCAGCGCCACTGGGCTACTCTATTCAATTTACAACTGTCAAGGGATATTTTACGTGCACAACAATGCACACAGGCATCCGATCTAACTACCCAGAGACCAGGGGGAATTAGTAGAAGTCAAGTGCACAAGAAAAAATCCCAGCCCTTACCGGGGATTGAACCCGAAAACTCTAGCACTCGAGGCGGACACCATGCTACGAGACCACACAGCCCCTCCCATTTACCCATTCAGAAGATGCTTGACCAAGCTACTCAGCCAACTGCTCCTCCTAGAGAAAACTTAAAATCATACCTTCAACTTTAAATGCCCCTGTCTTCTCTGATCACTCACAATTACTCACTTTACTAAAGTTGTTATCAATAAAACAATGCAAACCGATACTTACGTACAGAAGGATGAAACCAACTCGTTGTGCGGTCAATATGGTTGATGAAATATACCTCGAGGTCTGCAGTGTATGCCCTTTCCCAACCTGGGGGAAGGGGGACTTTGTCCACGTTGATGGGCGTGGAGCTTAGAGGGGGCTGGCTGGAAAGGGAACTAACTCCAGTCTGTGGCGAACTGTTGAGGTTTGCTGTGTTTGCATTATTGTTGTTGTTGCTGGTACTGGAAAGAGTGCCTGGGTTACCAGCATTGTGAGTTTTGCGTGGGTCATTCCAGGTTGTTATTTGTAGAACATGGCTGAGAGTAAAAGAAAAAAGACGTATGTTACATGGCATCAGTATCATCTTACAGAAAAGCTTCATTTGCTTTTTTTTTTCTTCTTCTTTGTGGGCTAATTTGGCGGCAATTTTTGTGTGTGGGTCATATAGTTGTCCCCATGTGGGATGCAGTTTTGTTATTTGAAGCCCCACCCTGGCTTTTGCTGGGGGCCCTGAATATAGCCGGGCCACATGAATAAATGGCCTCAGGGCTGAAAGGGGTTTCTGAGACCTCTCCACGGGTGATCCTCATCCGCATGGTAGCACATTGTGTCACTGGGTGTTTATCGCTTGTGTGATGTCCTGGTGGGGTACAACTACCTACCTACCTTTTTGTGGGTTTCTGCGGCTTAGAGGTAGTGAAACAGTTTTACAATACAATACTTGACATTTACCAGGGTTCCATTCCTGAGGTGGATGGTTTTGAAAGACTGCTCTTGTGGCTTTCAGACAGTGGTGTGAGAATCGCGCCACGGAAGAGAGTGGATCTCATTACGTAATATTCCCATAGTTGACAGTGGATACAATGTGGCCAATCTCTTTTGTGCAGATGGCACAATTATGTTGTTGTAGTTTGCCTTACAGAAACCATCTTTACAAAACAGATAAGGGACACAGAAAGTAAAGGACCCTCTCCATGCCCTCGGGCATACTGGGTATTTAGTTAGTGCTAGACCCAGGACTTTTTTCTGACGGTCCGAGCACCTTATTTTCTTAAGCAGCACTGCAACAGACATTTTGTGGTTAAGTAACAGCATCTTTTAGACAGATCGGGCTGAGAATGGCACCTTTTTCCCAAGAAAAAGCCCCAGCTAGGCCTTTATTTTACAGACCAATCGGCATTTGGTGGGTGATGTGGTCAACATCATGCCGGCGGCAATCTGCCAAAGCAGTATGTAAAAGTCTCCTTCTTCTTTGAGTTTACCGGCTGTAAACTCTGGAGGAAAGTTCTGGTTGTTTGTCCACCTCTGGACTTTAGTCTTGTTTTGGAACCTGAGAGTTGAGTGCACATCCGTTTAACAGATGTGACTTAATTGTATGCAGACTGTTGGTTTCATGCATCAGGCAGATGCACTCTGACTTTGAAGGAAGCCCCCCCCCCCCCCCCCCCCAGTTAGGTCGAGTTACAAGACGCTTGTTGGGGAGGCAATAGGTCTATTCTTGCATTCCCCATAATGAGGTCCCGGAACCCACACGGGGAGTATGTAAAGTGAGCACAAAGGGCTTTTATCACACCATAAGCGCCTCAACACACTGTGCAATTAAAGACAAATCACTCAGCAGATGGTGTGGGAATTCAACATTAAGCAGGCCACTTTTATATCTTTCCTGGCACCTATTTTAGGCTAGTCAAAATGTAAAAGGGAGGCAGTGTCAATTATCAATTTTTAAATTTTTTTTAATCTATACGGATTTCAACCCAAGGTCTTCAGATTGTCAAGCAAATGTCTAGTCACCTGCAATACTGAGAGTCCCCCTGCTAAGACGGTGGTCAGGTTTGTTTTTCTTCTGTGCTTGCCCTTAAAAAGTGTGGTAGGCACATAGTATTGTGGTTTACAGCTAGGCTGCAATATTTGTGCCTTTAGGCTCAACGTATCTTATTTCAGCAGGCTCTTAGTCACCTTTTACTGAAATTAGCAGTGGTCACATTCCTAAAAACTTACAGGTATACACACACACACATATATATATATATAGAGAGAGAGAGAGAGGAGACAGACACACACATACATATATGTGCTCATATGTATGTGTGTGTATATATACACATATGCAGTGTGTGTGGGGTATGTGTGTGTGTGTGTGTGTATATATATACATACACAAATACATATATATATATATATATATATATATGTGTGTGTGTGTGTGTGTGTGTGTGTGTGTGTGTGTGTGTGTGTGTGTGTGTGTATGGTGCATATGTATATGTGTATATACACACACATACATATGTGTATATGTGCATGTATATGTACACATATTCATTTCTCTACACACTCTTATGTGTGGATGTTTACGTACACACACACACACACACACACACATGTGTGTATGTTTCCATGGGTAGCAAAATGTTCTCAAAATAAAAGAGAAATTTCAGTTTTGACCACATCCCCGGCTGAATGTCAAATTAGTCCATAAAAAATATGTAGCTTTCACCATATATACAGTGTTGCTTAAAGTGTGGGGTGGGGGGGGGGGGGAGATAATTTTTGTTGTTGATAAGATGGTCTTAAAAAGAATGTGACAACCAGGAATAGTGAAGCTGTTAAAGATGGTGATCAACAGAGCTAAAGAATATGCTGGAGATGGGTGTACAAGTCAAGACTGCACACATCTGACCAAACACATCCCTACCACCTTTTACAAAAACATAAGAAGACTTCTTCCAACCACACACTTGTGTGTAGAACACTGGGATCAGCCCCAATAGTCAGCTACAGGAGCTGTCCTTAATTCCTTCACCAAACTGACAACCTTCAGCAGGGATGGGACACTGTTTGAGGAGAATACAAAACATGCCACCTAGTGACTGGGACCAGAGACACTTGGGGGAAGAGAGTGAGGGAGGAGTCAGTGCAGTTTGGTTTACAGCACATCCCAGCTTCCACTGGAGCAAGACAAAAAAAGTGTCTCTGTACATTCTCTTTGTGCTGTGCATTGGGTATTTTGTCCAGACTGGGTACTGGAGAATTGTTTATGAATACTGACACAAAACAGGGCACACTAGTGGATTATACAATTGAAATGTACTCATTTTTAAATTAATAAAGTATACAATATTTTTTTTAAACACATTAATTATCAGATACAATTAAAATGTATCGAATACATAAGGATAAAAATGATCAATAATATACACACTATTAGATAAGCATACTCATTAACAGAGGAGGATAAACATATCTGTATAAATATTTACAATTTAAAAACAAAATACATGAACAATGTAAGCATTTTTAGATAAGAAAATTTTTTTTGTATTAACTGCAGATTTTTTAAATACAATTTTTAAAATAACCATACACATTTACAGGTAATAGCATATGCATTTCTCAATAACTGACACATATATTTTTGATCACTAAATTATCACATACACAGTGATTTTTTTTAATAAAACGCATATCTTGTTTAAATAAAAGAAATACTTTTTAGGATAATTAACATGTTTTAGGATGAATAACATACATGTTAGGAAAAATGAAACATATGTTTTAGAATGTATGAATAAATAACGCTTTTTAAAAGATAACATATTATCAAGCAAATATACTGTACTTTAACCCTTTCAGTCCCAGCAACTGATATTTTAACCCCTTTCTTTTTAAAGGAGTCGAGCTAAACAGCAATAGTATTTAGGTCTAAAGGAGTGGAACAGAAAGCAACCTTACGATAGTAGTTAAAACTAAAAAATTTTTACAGAAAATGTTTAATATTTACATCTGTGACAGAAGACAGCGAGAATATTATATTATCTTTAAACACAGCAAGGCACATGTAAAAAAGTTCAGAAATTAATAATTCTTTATATTCAAATATCTTCAGGTTCTGAAATCTATTATGCTGTGTTTGCTGCAAACAGCTTTTTTTTTTCTTATTCTTACTATCTCTCTGATGTCACTCTAGTTTTTAACATTCAGATCTGTTATACCCATTTCTACATGTTCTATCACCTTCTTCGTGGATACCACCTTGGATATATCTTGAACTTTCTCTGTATATACTTCTACATCTCTGAATTTTTTTTTGGGCTCAATGCATTATGAACTCTGACAGGTCAAACAAATTTCTAATCATCTTTGTGGGAAGTGGAGGGGTGTAAATTCTGAGTTGACTAAGACTCTAGTTTGTTGTGACTTCAGCATCTAATTCATGTAGAATTAATTCTCGATACACATTGTGCACATTCTTCAATAAAGAAAAATATTTTTCTACATAAGCTGCATACACATGTCACTTAACAACATACAGATTTATAAATAAACAGTTGAAATAATAAATGTTTGGGTCTAAAGGAGCTAAAATAATACAGAACAGATTAATTTAGAAAAAGGGTATCATTTTTCTATCTCTAGACTATGTTCTGTCTTTATTTTGAAGACACATTTTGAGTAAGCCTTGGTGTGTGTAACGTAGATGCTGGTATTCACGGCAAAAGGAAATCAAGTATGAAATCACCAATAAACACGGTGTTTCGCTTGGTACATAATGAGTTAAAATATTAAATGTCTGCGATCTGAAGGAGTCAAAATAATAACACCTGCAGAAAGGAGATGGGCACTGTGGCAGCATAGTGGCAGAACACTCACCTGCCAGCCATCCTGAAATAGATTTTTCTTCAAAACTGACCTTGGCTCCCAGGCCAACCCAGCCTAAAATACCAGGTCCAGGCAATGTCCTCGGAAGTAAAGGTGGCCACCCTGATGCTGACCAAATCATTCGAGTGCGGGCTGGTCTACAAATTATAAGTCTATAGCATCATATATTTTATGCCCAGCTGGGATAAAACAGACCCTTTACTTTTAATTACTTGCAGATCAGAAGCACAGAAGAAAAACAATCTGTTCTAAGAGTGTTAATGCAACTGGGCCAGGAAAAAGATGGCAACTTAATCATACAGAAAGTAACAAATAAATATACACATATCGCTTGGGACCGAATGAGATAAATGTCTGAGTAGGAAGGAATCAAAATAACAACACCAACAAAATAAACGAAGTCAAAAAAACCATTTATAACAGTGGGTTAAGTTTTCAATGCCTTGTAGTTCTTAATTCAACAAAGTCCATGCTAAAGTTTTAGTAACACTGAACAACCATTTTTAGTCTTATGGAGTTGAAATAAGATTGGGACAGAGGCAGTTATAATAACAAAAAAGATAGAATTGGCTAACTATTTATAGAAGAACAAGAAAAAAAAAGGTAAAGCAATGTGAACCATACAAAGAGAAACCCTAACCAATGAACATATTGTGGAACACAAAACAAATTATTAATGATTAATCTATTGTAACAACTGGCTTTGGCAGTGTCCTGTTGGCCAAGTTTGCCAAGAACAGAGTAACCAACCAACGACTGATTGAGTGAAACCATCACCTTCTTCTTTCTACAGCCATGTTATGTAGCTTAACTAAGCACTGTGAAGTAATTGTACCCTGTCATCCCCCCCCCCTCTCCCAAATTATGTTTACAAATCGAACTATTAAAACAATAAGAAGGCACTATTTAAACAAAAATCAAACAGCTGCATCTATAAATGCAGGCTGTGTGCTTAATTTCACAGATGTTTTTTTACTTCCCTAAACCAGAGGCCCTATCCCTTGTACACATGCATAATGACCACCCTGGGCCTCAAAAGTAGGTCAACTAAGGTGAATTCCAACTTCACCTTAAAATTCAATAAAGGGGCATAGGTCATCCATAGGGGCTTCCTCTGCCTACAACTGACAAGTTGGTGCTGTAAACCCTTTATTTAGTAGTTGCAACTGTTTAACTGCCTTATCTTGTGTGCTTCAACCTGAGCTTGATAAATGTATCATTCAACAATGCAACACAGGCTGCTGAGCTGTGGCCAGTCATTCATTCCCCTCCATCCCCTCTCTTTCCATTATTGTACCAACCCAAGGACTGTGTCTGCTATTATTTGTTGAGAACCATCACCTGTGTGGTCGCTGCATTCCAGCACAGAGAAGGCAAGCTTGGTCAATGCTGGATCTACCCTCAGTTTAACAGGGCAAGGTACTTCTATTTGTGAACCATTTCATTTGTTAGGCAAAAATATGGAAGAAAATAGTAAACTACTTTTTAATTGTTGATTGGTTTTTGTGTATAAAGAAAAAGTAGCAAATGAAAAGGATTCCGTTTTTAAGCAAATAAATTGTGTACTGAAAAAAAGTGGAAAAAGGGGGGGGGGGTATAAATGAAACGGACCGACAGGTACGGATGACGAGAACATTTTGCAATGGAGTAAAGACAGGGAAAATCAACACTTACTTTAAATAATACCTCTGACCCTGCGGTGTTCTGGCCATATCCCATCCCGTTGGTAACGGCTCTTCGTCCAGAGCGTCGTAGCTGTGTTGTCGGATGTGGGATGAGCTAGCTGGTGGAGGGGCTGCGCTCAGGCTCTGTTGTAAACTGGCCGGAGACGAGTGAGCCCTCATGTGTGCTATGTTTATGGAAGGGTTTACTGCCCCGTGGAAAACGGGTGCGTCGGTGGTGTTGTCTTTACCCACCCCAATCTGCTGCTGCATTTGTTTCGGGGGTTCAGGTGGGCAAAAAAACGATGCGGGTAGGTTCCGCTCTCGTAACGGCACAATCTTATTTGTTTCTGCCAGCGACGGGTTCATGGCAATGTTGAAGAGAGCCTCCAACTCTGTATCGCTGTTCTCACGAACGTGAATGATCGGCCCAGTCCGATCTTGTGACATCTTGCTAGAATCAATCCTGGCGCAGCCAATACGAAAATAAAGTGCTTAAGTTCCTCCACAATTCTGTGTAATCACAAAACTCACAGCCTAACGAAAACAACAACGTAATAATCCTCAAATTGGGAGTCGGGAACACTCCGTTAGCAAACTTGAGACACGAAAAGTAGTTTACTCTTTACTCCAGTGTAACAGGTGTACACTTCCGAGCTACTATATAATCCTATTTACCTTTGCCCACAAATTAATTAATCTGATCTTTGTCTAAAATAAAATGCAAGAAATATTATAGAAATTATTCTTAATATTATATAAAATGTTCAACTATAAATAATATTCTTTAATTCCATAGTTGGTAGCAAAACAGCTTATCTGTTGCGGATGGATATGCCAGTTCTCCTAAAGTTAAATGACGTCACTTTTCGGGATGGTTAGATTATTTCCTTTGTCGTTTCCCTTTTCCCAAACCGAATGCACGGTTTATTGCCATACAGCTATCATGTTACCTTTTAGTTTATATAAATAACTTATCTTCTATATATTTACTAGAAGTCCTACATGTATTTAGAATATATTCGAAGTTGTTTGTTGAATTTAGCCGTAAGTGAATTGTAGTATACCTAAATGTGAAAAATTACCTGCCCCCTTCGCCATATATGGGGATTTGCATTATTTCATGAATGGACGCTAGTTGTCAGAAGCCGAACCGAGCGTCGGTACCTTTCGGCAATGTTCGGTTAATAATGGGTTGTTTTAGTAAAGATTCGGATTTATTTATTTTTTAGTAACCTTCTCTGAATACTCACTCTGTAATCCTCTTCCTTCTTTGATAAATCGCCACACAATTATTTGATCACTTAAAGCCCGTGGGACGGAAATTCTCACCTAGGTTATTTTAAAAAAAATATTGGTTGAGTGGAGTCACACCCGTGGTGTATTCCAGGTACCCATGGTGATGTGGACGATATGTTTAGTTTGTATCAATACAGTATAATATTGATTGTTCTTATAACGTTGATTTTTTTTTTAATACAAAGCTCCGAAAAATAACTCTTTTAGTACCTTTTAGAAAAGAAACGAATTATTCCTAAGTGTGTAATAAAAGTTGATGGTGTTATTTTAGGACAAGTACAGAAATTTAAGTATCTGGGCACATGGATAACATCAGATGGAAGATGCATAACTGAGATAAGAAACAGAATAGGACAGACAAAAACTGCATTTTATAAAATGAAAAAACATCTTGTGCAATATATCCTTGACATTGAGAGTTAGAAAAAGAATTCTTGCTTGCTACATACATCCAGTTTTAACATATGGCTGTGAATCCTGGACAATAGGTAGGCAGGCCAAACAATTCCTGGAGGCCTCGGAGGTGTGGTTTTACAGAAGAATGCTTAGAATACCTTGGACAGCCAAAAGAGCAACCAAGAGATTTTGAAAGAGGCGGCAGCCCGAAGACAACTTATCACAGACATCAGAAGGAGACAGTCATCATTTTTCGGCCATGTTATGAGAAGAGGGAAAATAGAACATGTTGTGACCACTGGAAAGATATGTGGAAGGAGAGATAGAGGTAGACAACGAGAGAAGATGCTTGACAGTCTTGTTGCATGGCATGGAGGTGTGTCGGCACACGAACAGATACATGCTGCAGGAGATCGCAGATTATGGAGAGGCATGATCGCCCACGCCAGTCGGCAAGACACCTGATGATGATGATGATGAATGAAAGCATTTTTCTCCGCTGAAAAAAAATGGTAGCGTAGAGTGGAGACACCATAGTACCCATTAGTGATATGGATATGTTTTGTTTCGAATATATGGGATGGTCTAGTCTTCCTCTTCTTCTTCGATCCTTCTGTCAGAAAACTTATATTAGGAGGCCGGTAGCCTTTATGAAAGCTATCGTGCAATCCATATCCTCTTGTGTACCATACAGTTTTGTCTTCATTGTGGTTGGAACAGGCCAGATTGCGTCTCTGTTGTCAGCATACAGTTGACAGTGTTGGAGCACATGCTCAGCATTTTCGGGTGCCACGCTGCAGGGACACGTCTCCGTATAGTAAAGTCATTATTTTCTAGAAGAGAACTCCCCTGGCACTCTTGTAGTCTGTTTATTTTAAGGCAAATCATTTCTTGATCGGATATACCCTCTATGACCAAAACAACATGACCCGCTTTACATTAATGGTTGCATGGAGTTACTAAACTATCTATGTTGATTCGGATTATATATATTCGGATTGTTTGCTTGATTTAAATTGGTCTATTAACTGTACAGAATTTGCAAGCATTTTTTTAGGGCAAATCGCCACATAATTTGTTTATATGGTATACCACGTATGAACAAAACGGGTGTATACTTCCGAGTTATAGTTACCTTGGACCGGGGAGGGGCGGGGGGGGGGGGGGGGGGGTGTGCCGGAAAATGAAAGCTGGTGAAACCGAGTCAGCGGTGCAAGAGCTGATTAATGCAAAGTCGCGCCCAAATGACATCATAATATATTCGGGTGGGTCTGTAGTTAGAGGTATGGTGGGTGTTTATTGCAAAGGTTAATTGACACCGAAAACAAAGAGCCTCGCTTACAAAGTCACAACATCCAGTATGAGAATGGAGGTAGAGCCAGTAACAGCAGCTTTCTGATGTCTTGAGGGTAGCATGGCCCGACATGTTGTAATTGTAAAAGACTCATAGAATACTTTCGAAAATTAAAACTGGCGTTCTGTGCGTATAGTAGCTTGCATAATTCAAAAAGACCCAGATTAAGAACGTATCGTTTATTTTCTGTTTAGAATATTTAGATGTGCAAGGTAATGAGCAGGCTGATCGGCTAGCTGCTTCCGCGATTCTGGGTTGTGAGCTATTTTATGATATAGCGGATGTGGTAAAGGCTCTATAGGATGAAATGAACAGTGTAACAGAACAGATTTAGAATACATGCATTGAAAGACATTTAAAAAATACACAGGGTGGGGGGGGGGCGTAGAGACTCTGAAAGACATTCAACATCGAGGGGGGGGGGGGGGGGGGGACAGAGACGGACTTGTAATCAGGTTGCAGCTGGCACTATTTGAATGACGACTCTCTATTGACTACTGAAGAAGAGGACATAGAATGTGTTGGAATGACCCGAGTGCAGTTACCTCATTTCTTGATTTATTCATTCGTTCATTTGACTAAAACATTTCCACTTTTAAAAACACGTGCATGTACTAATGGTAATTAGGGTACTCGTGTTTTAGATTAAATGTGTACTAGTTTACATTTGAAAATAGCTTTGGTATCCCAATGGGTTTATCACACTGCCTTAAATTTTACCCATTACCTAGTGCGTTCCTTTATCCCAAAGTTCTCTCAATTGTTTAAATTAGTATCACATTCTTCTTCATCTGCTTCTTCTTCACTTCCTCCATTTACTTTATCAGTATGTTAGGGTAGATATTAGAACCTTAATTGTGCTGTTTTCAGTGCTTTGTATAGGATGTTCTTCAGTTCATTAGGACTGTTATTGACACCATCGTTGCATGTAATACGTGGTCTTCCACTTGAATGTGCCTATTACCTTTTTTTCAACGTGATGTTCTTGGAACGTTCAATTGGTGCAAGGATGGTCTCGTCAAAGGGCGTAACCATCTCATATATTGCCCTTTAATTAACTGTATGACTGGTTTGAGATCTATAATTCTAATTTCTTTATTTTCAGTTTGATCTTTTCTTGTTACTTCGGCAGCTCTCCTTAACCCAGTGTTTCCCAAATTTGTGTGTGTGTTGGTGCAATGCCCCACCTACGCCTTTCTAAACTTCTTATGCTCCCTCCCACCCCCCCCCCCCCCCCCCCCATGTAACTTAAACTCTGGACGAGTCCTTTCTTTTAATTATAAATTGCTCTTAACAATCAATTGCCCCACCCCCATCCCCGTGAATCGTGGGCGCCACGTTATAAAACACTGCCTTAAACAGTCTCAGCTCTGTTGTTTTGATTTTGAATTCATCAGTTTTAGTAAAGGGTTTTAACAAAGGCTTTTTTCCAGTGTGGGTTCTGGGACCTATTGTGGGGAAGACAAGAATAGACCCACTGTCTTCCACACAAGCATGTCATAGGAGTCGACTAATTAAGGGCTTTCTTCGAAGTCGGAATGCATCCACCTCATCTTGAGCGGCAAGGAACAAACAGCTGCACACAAATAAACTAGTAAACAGATGTACACACAAAACTGGAACAAAGCCAAAGTCAAAATGGAGGAACAACCAGGGCTTTCCCCCAGAGCTTACAGCCCGCGAACAAAGAAGAAAAATAGTACAGTTCCAAGTTTGAAACTTACCTAAATATATCAGTAACTTGTTTTTATTCTTGTTTTTATTCTTGTGCAATTTCACATCATCAAAAGTGGAAATATCTTTCCCGTGGCAGCTTATATATGTAATCGCAGACTGAAACCAAATCACTGAAATAAAGAATCATAGTCTTTGAACTGAAATTCTACAGAAAAGTTCTTACAATACCATGGACTAAGAAGGCGAACAAAAACCAACACACTGCTTGATCTAAGCACACACACACACACACACACACACACACATATATATATATATATATATATATATATAAATCGGCTTCATTTGGGCTTCCGCACTGAACCAGCAGGCGCTCGAAAGGCAGGATACCTCGTTCAGCCAGTGGCTGATGCACAAAATAGGTGCTCAGTGGCATGTGTTCGAGTGACTGTGTGGGGATGACCGGTTTCCTGGCTGATTTCGCGATGGTGGTACATTCTGAATTTTTCTCCAGAGGTTGAGAACTTTGTGGGTAGGTGTATCAGTGTCTATCCTCGCTCGGAGATAGTTTGATAACCTGTCGCTATAAGTGATTTGCTGGTCTGGTGGTATATTGAAGCCAAATGTATATGTTAAGTATGTTTCGGTTTTTGCCATTGCTGATGTCATTTTTCTGAACGTTTGCGTTCATTATCATATTTCCTTGTTAGCTGGAGATGATAAG